GATGCCTAAGGGGCCTAAGAGGAGCTGGAGATGGTGTCAGCAGCGCGACATTCGCAGAACGCAACTGATTCAACGTGGCGCTGCTACATCTTGTCAAGCCAGCTAGCTGTAAGACTTTTCTACACTCTAGTTCGCTGCTGACGGTTGGTCGCGTCAGGCAGTATAAGTGTGTCATCAAAGCCGTTCTCTGCCTTCTTGTTGAAGCGCGCATGCGACAAAAAGTGGTAGAAAACGAGTAATACGAACGATATGATACAGTATTGTCACTTGCCCGCTTCAACAACTGGTGGAGAACGGTTTGGCACCGCGCCAAACTCATCCCGCCTGACACGCCCAACCGTCCGCAGCGAACTATACTATACATTTGTGCACTACATCGCAACGGATGTCTCGAACTAGACACATGAAAGGCATTGTTCAATCTCCGACCTTGAAAAATCGGCAAAAAGAAATAGATACGTATCCAATGAGAGAATCGGGAAATACAGAATAGAAGAATATGAGAAGCGGCGAAAAAGGTCATTGGTTGTCACCGCCCAAGTGGAGAATCGGCGAATTGAGTTGAAGATCCACTGGATTGGGAGTAGAGCGTTACTTCCAGGTCGCCGCGGGTGCAGCGAAATAGGCGTTACAAGCGGGATGACGTGCAAAGCATTCACACCTGGACCCAATCTACCAGTGCAGCTGCGTCTCTCAGGTTTACTACTCGTCAGTGTGCCTCTGTCTAACTGGTTCAGCTACGGTGTTGTTCGTTGCGCAGGATAGGGCGTGTCGGAGGAAGGGGGGGGGGAGGTGGGTTTGGCGCAGTGCCTCTCTTTCTTCCTTTTTTTCCTTTTTGACAAGCGACAGGACTATTTCATATCGTTGGTTTCAGTCGTTTTCCACAAACTGCTGTTACTTACCCACTTCAACAACTGGTGTAGAATGAGTTTGGCGCCGAACTAAACCGATCTCGCATAACACTTCTAACATCCGTAGTGGACAAAACCGTAAGAAGTGCACGCGTTGCCGCGATCTGGGATTGGGCCTCCGTATTCCTATAAGAATAGCTGATTATACTTGTCTCTTATGTAAGGCTGCGTTCATATTTTGTGTCAGCGTTTTTAGCGTTTTGAGCGTACGCCAGCGCCCAGAAAAGTATATTATTGACCTAGCGTACGACAGGAGTGGAGATTATGGGGAAGTAGGAGGGTAGCAGACTGCTGGAATAGGCGTCATGAAATTGCGGCCTGTGCAACTGCGCCGTACAACTGCGCTACACCGTGCATCATTGCATAGTTCATTGCATAGTTCTGTGCTTTAGCAGTTGTGCGACACGGTCGCACATGCAGCACTTTCACGACGTCTAATCCAGCAGTCTGCTACCCTCCTACTTCCCCATACTCTCTACTCCTGGTGGACGCTGGCGTACGGTGGCATACACCAGATCGAAACCTATACTCCCCTAGTTGCGAAAAAAGTTGCTGTACACTGGCGTACGCTAGATCGATAATTAGCTTTCTCAGTCTCTGGCGCTGACGTACGCTCAAAACGCTCAGAACGCTGTCGTTACGCTGACGCAAAGTATGAACGCAGCCTAACTGAATCTTTGCGCGGATACACAGCATCCTCCTACTCGGCGATTCTCCTGTTTGGCGCCAACTGTGAACTCCCTAACGCGTAATCGTCACTTCATGGTGTTTCTTATTTCTCACACTTCTTGTTTTCTCGAAGATTCAGAAATACGTTGTATGAAATAACATGAAAAACACTAAAGAAGATGCATACCATACCTGCACCTCTTCGGTCCACATGGTATCCTTTTACTCCGTAAGACCCCATTCATCGTTATCCTTGCACTGAACTGCTAGATCAGAATCGGGAGCTAGCTATCTAGAATCTGACTGATTCCAACGGCTTCTCCACTTGGACGCTTTCATCATAAATTCGTAGAGAACCTTAGGTGTCTAGAGCCTATTGGCTGTAGTACAACAACAATAGAAGAAAAAACTTGTTTTGTTCTTTGATATACATTACTGTCACAGAATGAAAATGGGTGACAGCGAACAATATATGGTGATGGAGTACATATAGGCTATTACAAAACATATAATAGAGAAAGTTGCATGTGAACGAAATCATATCACAAGGTGAGAGGAAGGACGTGACAGTGCGAGGGATGACGATTGGTCGGCCAAGAAACCCGTGAAAATTGTACACGTTAGATGACTTAGCCAAAAATGGTACGGAGATCGTTGATCATACACAGAGAAGCTAAAGAACAGATGGGAAAGGAAGAAAAAAAGGATTATTGTGTGATTAATAAAAAAAGAAAGGGTTAATAGTAGCATTCAGCATAAATCTATAGACTATGAACGTGAAGTAAACAGCTCCGTAAAACTCTTGAACAAATGCAAATCTACTAATTCTGCACGGGAAAACTCATTTCAGTGGAGACAGGATACTCATCGGTCCACGATTAAGTTCAAGGTTTGCCAACTGGGAGCACGAAGCAGCCACATCTATGTTCTCTATGGAGTTGAATCGCTTCAAAGTCAACTGTGACATGGAACGTCTTCGAAGAAACTTCATTGGTACTGTTGGAGCTTGCATGTTTTCGCGAGCTCTGAAAATCATTTCTGTTCAGAATTGTAGTAGCAAGCAGAATTTGAAGAGAAAAAACTCAAAAGTTAAACAAATTCCTAGGCGTCTTTTCGTATACAAGAAGGCTGGTCCTCATTCTCTAAGACTGACCCACTTTTACGCCAGTAAAAAAGGTGCTACAGCTTTCAAAAGGCAATTCTGACGCCTCCTTACAATTAGTTGTCTCGCCCACCGAAACCCAAAGGCTAATTTCTGTCACAAGTTCAGTTTCCGAATTTTTTTCACTGATATATGATATTACCACTAAATGACGCGAAGAAACCATTATTTAGTGAGTAAGGGACTGCAGGATACCTCTTTGTTGACATAAAACGAGCAGGTCCTAAGAACTCGAGTGACGTAGTGAGGCCGCTTGGTCCTTAATTCGGGCGCTCTCCTTGTCTTTCTTTGCTTTTTTTCCTCTCGAAGAGTCATTTAGCGCAGACTTGTAACGCCACTGTCCACAAAATGCAGATGCGGGGTATGTCTTCAGAAATCCAGGTACTGTCTGTCCTCCGCCTCCCTGCCCTATACTAGGACCACAAACTTCAAAAAGTACCTTGCCAGCGCTTTCGCATGTGCGAGAGATCCTCCACTTTCAGAAGAGCCAGATCCAATTGCACTGTCATCAGAATTATGTTCACGTCGCCCAGCCGTTGCAAGGCACATCATCGAGCTAAACGGCAAAGTTCCTTCGAATGGGTTAGGCATAACATTAAGTCAACAAGAAAACATACTTAGGATCTCTCTGAACTCACCCCGCAACGTTCCGATTTTTGAGAAGAATCTTCTCGGCGGCCGGTTTGGCGGCACTTCGCGTCACCGATACGGGAGGTTCACAAATTGTTTCTGGTGTAACGTTGCACATGTTTTGGGAGAAATTGTCGATAGCGTTTGGATTACGAGCAGATGGGTGGCTCGGATTAGGGCACTGTAATAGAACGACGTCCTAGAACTCGATGTTCTGCCTGCCTAGCCATGCATAGGACGATCAACTCACCACAAGAGCATATTCTTTGTCATTAGGATGGATAAACTCGCAACGCAGACCATAAGGGCAATAGTTGGACGCGTAAGGGCCAAAGTTTTTACACAGCTTCGTCTTGTATCTGGCATTAGGAGCACGAGGTGGCTAAAATAAAACGACTTGGTTAGGTCACACTAGAATCTCTCAGAGGAATGATTCTCCGCATAAATTTGCACATGAATCAACACATGAATCAACTAGATTGGCTGCATTCCTGGAAGATTCTAGACAAGAAACTAAGTGAACTGTTTCGAGGGTTTTCAAAATTTGTAGGGTGCCTTTGCAGGGAGGGGGAAGGTGGTTCACTTGACTGCGTTCTTTAGAAAATGTAGTGGTCCTCTCCCCCAACAGCTCAGCTTTGGCCTTGTTCATAAATTTGCAACTGGAAAGACTGAAGATCCGACAATTTAGAAGACTCGGTTTTCGGGCGATAACCCATTGAGGACCGAAAGGATATCGATCAGCGTCGGCCGCTAGTGATTGCGGAGAATTGCCGACCTGGCGCCGATCGATACCTTCCAGTACGATAATCCACCCCTGCCGCACAATCGTTCGAAACCTGTGTCAGCACAAAAAAAGGTTGCCACGTTCTATGCTACACCTTTCCATGGCCCGTCTACTCGACTCGCACGAGTTTCCATATCGCGCGAAACCTTCCTTCCAAAAAAACCGTCAAACCCAAAGTTGAGTGGGGTTTTTAGAGCAAGAAAAACGACTGTGTAATGGCGCAAACGCCATTTTATTCTTTGACCCTCCTCCTAGGGAAACCAGTGAAACTGTTCTTCGGCTCCTAACAGAAAATAACAACTCGACGGCATTTCATAACAGAAGTTCTTCTGGACATGAGCAAAACTTGCAACGACTGTCCATTTACACTTGTTTTTCCTGACGCGGTATGCTTAAGCACATTCTGGTCTATATGTTGAAGGGCAGCTGGCGTGGACGATTGTTGACGCAGGAGAGCTCCGCTGCTTGACACACTCAACTTAGCGTTAAACACACAAAGTGTTACAAAAAATTCGCAGCCCGGTGACTGGCCGCCTACCGTAACCCGCTGCCTATGGGAGAAAAGACGTGGGGAAAAGTGCGAAGCAAGCACGCTTGAATACGGTAAAACAATTCGCTCGACCGCGAAATCTTTTTTATCAGAGTGCCGTTGTTATTTCGTACCACTTCCGTATCTTTATCATTCTCTCCTCCAACGGTCTCTTCAGAGACGACTGAAATTTTTGACAAATTTGCCAGTACATCATCATGTTCCATGTTCCTGAAATCGCAAGTGGAAGGGAAGGGCGCATGTCACCGTGCCGAAAGGTGAAGAGTCTGAGACAGTGAAACAGGAGATCCTGCTGATTTATTTCAGATGACGACCGTTGAGATTGCCAACGTAAGGTAGTTGATTTGTCATTGGAGGTGGAATTGCGAATTCTGTAGGTAACGGAGTGGATGTACTCAAAGGACGTACAGCTGATTTAGGTTTATTCACTGGTACTGAATACAGACATATTGAAAGCAAGACCATGTCAGTGATTACAAGGAATTTAAGCAACATGATCCGATTAAATACCAAAACGTTAGCCCATAATAAAACATCGCAGGCTATCAAACGTTCCAAAACCATTTTTCTGTTGAAAACCAAATGGACACGGGCTAAAAGGAGCAGTACGAATAGCGCGTCATTCTTGCCAACACTGGACAACAGCGGAAATGACGGAATAATGGTAGCGAGTGGCGGCAAAGGTATTGCAACGATAAGCCAGCGTTCAGGCTTCGTGCGTCGTCGCGGCTGTAGACCGAGCAATCGACGCGCTTACCGATTGCAACCCGGACAGGCATCTGGCATCGATAGTGGTCCCGCAAGCTAGTGCTCTGGAGCACTCACAGCTTCAGTGACTCCCTCCCTGCCTTCCGCCCCTTTCTAGCGAACCATCGTTTGTCAAGGGCCAAGGCCTCCTTCACCAAACGTATCTGAGTGGCAGATGCTGGCATGTCAACCCCAAACTGAACAACTGTTCTACAGACTGCCAAAGGAAACGGCTTGTAGCGGGCTAATGTACGAGTTAGAGAAATCAGCACACTTGTTACAAGACCCTGCCATTCCTTCTGGTCAGTGCATTAGTAGTTGGATTGCGCACTGATTTATAGCTCACTTCAGCACGCGTTTCGTATTACGCCGTGCCTCTATCCACCAGTTAGCTGGCTGCTCTACTTATGTTATACCGTAAGCTCATCTGTATGCTCTCCACGCTCAGGGATTGCTAAGCCAGCAAAGCTCGTTGAATTGAAAACAGACGACAATTTCAAAGCTATTGGAATTTTCAACGAGTTGACTGAAGGCACACTCCAATCTCGAGTGTGCGGGTACAATGAGTGGACTGTGCTTTCTAGCTTTTTGTTGCAGTAAACATAGTATCTTGATTTACCTTCAGCTGGCAAAACTGTTTGTTGTGATGGCATCGGTTGTGGAAGTTGCATCTGATGTTGAACGTATACATCTGGAGTGTAGAAGTATGGAACTGTTGTAGCCTGCCAGGAGCGAGCGACCAGGCCAGCTTTCGGCCCGAGTAGAAAACAGGATTGCTAGGTGGCGGCATATAAATGAACCCAGGATGGCCTGAAAATTATTTTCTAGTTGGAAGACCTGATACGTATTACTCACACTCACTATGAATCAAGTGACTCATAAGTTAAAGTTTTTTCTTTTTCCCCTCGCCAATCTTGGTAAAAATGTGATCACAGCAAAAATATTCTTCAAATCACCGCCGACGATGACAAATTCGGCTGTACAAGGAGAGTATGAAGCACACAGAGGCTGTTTTTTCATTACTCACTTATTTAATTCATCTCTCACAAAGCATGAAGTTTTCGAGATTGTGCAAGGATTATTACGCAACGAGTTCTGCGGCGCACTGACATGTGGTTGCTGATGAGGTTTAGAAATCAAGATGCATGCATCTACATTACGCGGTTATATAGCTCGTTTCTGTGGGGCGATGCGCTCATACACTCATCTCTATGAGATCAAAAGAGGCTTACTCTTTGTCTCTCCCTCTTTACTACGTACGTAAAGAGCGTGCGCATAAAACTCCGATATATGTAATCTTGTTCCGCGTTACGGATCATTGGGCGTGCCCTTTGCGGCTGCGGTTTGGCGGCCGGCCGGCGCCTCCCCGCACTCCTTTATGCGCCCAATCTTAGGGCAGGGCACGGCATGGTGTAATTATCAGCAACGGGGACGGCATCTATTTGAGCCGCGAGGGAGTGGGGGGGGTGTATTGTCCAAGAAATAAAACTTTTTTGATAGTCCGATTTTTTTTGTTTCACGGACCGCTATATAAGGGCAGGGCGACTATATGGCTGTTTGAGAAGATGGACTGGTAAAGATCTATACAAAATACTATTTCCGATAGTTGAAAATGATAGTTAAATCCTGACGACCTAATCACAACGCGATGGGTGCCCTGTCAATGGAGGTGCGACCCATAGTCTCTCTCATATTCCACTCTCTCATTTCCGTGGGTCTCTGCACCTTGCGCAGCATATTCGCTTTAGAATACCGGCCAATCCCGGGCGCTTACTTGGGGTGTCTTGACGGGTTCGTGCACTAGTCTCTTCACACTGGTAGGTCATACAGCATCTAGCAATTCATATTTTGACGCGTGAGCTGCGCCTTACAGCATCGCACTATTCAGGCAGGCTACCACAGCATAAGTCGCGCTCGCGGATACACAGAATGAATTTGACAGCGTCTGCCAGCCGTTCATGACAACGACTTAGTCGAAAGGCAGCCAGCTGGCACATAACTCATCTGAAGGGCAACAGTCTCCGCATTGCTCGTGATGTCGCTTATGTAGGGCGCGGGTCTAGTAGTATTGGTGTGGGCGGAAGAAGTAGAGGAGTCGTTAGCAAGCAATTCTGAGAGACCTCCGTATTTCGCAAAATTTTTCTCCAGTGGCAGAATGTGAGTGATGTCGATTCTCTGATTCGTCAACTCTACCCATCACGTCGATTCTCCCATCGCCGCGTAGTCGTTCCGATTTGCAGCTCGATACCGTATCCCAATCTTTTCCGGTGCGCAGGTTTGTCGACGGATGGGGGGGGGGATTTTGCTTTCCATAGATGTGTCGACCCATCTAGGTAGCCGTTTCTCGAGTTGACACGTTTTAGGATAGTGGCTAGACGATCTTACTTCAGCTTCACAAGAGTTCACAAGTTTTACCAGAGTGAGATTTGTAAACCGGAACTAGGGAAGCAATGATAATACAAAGCCCTCTCCCCGTCGACAAACAGCGCCATCTTTTCGTGCACTCGGTCATCCTTCCGATTTCATGATTCCTGGGTTTTCAGTTCTTCACTTGGACAGATGCACATTCCTTTTTGCTATTCTCTTGGCACTTCCAATTCCACAGTTCGTGAGTTTATGAATTCTCCTTTTTTCGCAGAGTATAAAGGGTGCCTTAGGGCGTTAATTGACTAGCAAGGTGTCAGATTAAGGTGCCAGAGAAGCCACCCACAATTATGCAGATATCTTTGCGATGTGCATCACTAATCTTGAGGACAGATTCCTTTTAAATTATCTGTTCAATTCCCAGTGTTTTGGTAGGTCACAACACTCCTTATTTTTTTTTTCATGCAGGACCTAATCCTTCGTCAGGTAGTAGCCTTGCCGTTAACGGGTCCTATAGCGATAAATCTGAACTCCATCCTACAACAATCAAGATAAATTTTTAGGTTGTACGGCCTCAGTGGACTCTCAGTACCCCCGTCTTCGTGTAGGAATGATAGGCCCTTTTTAGGAATTTTAAGGAGAATAAAACAATTTACAAAGTATTAAAAAGCAC